GCAAATTCAGAATGATTGCACTGTGCATGGCCCTGCTCCAGGTACCAACACGCCCTGAAAGGAAACTGTGAAATAGCACTTAGAATGTGCATATAAAGGTGTCTGGTCCCTTCAATATTTTCTCCGGCACACACACACATTCAGCATGAGAATGGAATACCCTGTGCTTCAACTTTGTGGATGTCATTCCTCACTTAGCAACCCTTCAACACTGTATCTCGCTTAAAAGTGTCTCCTTCTAATGCCTTCTACATATTAACAATTTAGGTCTGTGTCAAATCCAACTATTAGGGGTTTTTTCCCCTCATCAACTCTCAGTACTGTTAGTGAAATTATGCGGGTGCATCCCTCACTATGTGGTTTGTTGGCTTGTTTTCATCTTCCTGGCTTCCAAGTATCATTTTCACCTGAAAAAAGAAAACCAGCACCAGCTTGTTACAACAGACAAGACAGGGGGCTGGAGAGATGGCTCGGGAGTTAACAGTGTATACTGTGCTGGCAGAGGATCAGAATTTGGGTTCCAGAACCCATGTTGGGTGGCTCACAACCCTTGTCACACCAACTCCAAGAGATCCAAAGCTCTCTCTCCTAGCTTCCATGGGTACCTGCACTCAAATGCAAAGAGTCCCCAACACACACACGTTCCCATACACATGTACACAAATATCCCTAGGCAAGTCCACGTATAAAAAATAAATTATAAAAAAAGTCCTTATTTACTCTTAGCTCATGTCAGTTAGGATGAAGCATGCCTGAGCTATAGTGTCATCTCATTTCTTGGGAATGACTCAAGATGGAATGATTCATTAAATTCGCCACTGCAAAGAATTCATTCACTCACGTTGCCTTTGAAGCAAATACAGAAACTGACTCCAGAGGGTGATGGGTGTTCATAACTCAAAACCAACAGGAAACCTAGTGAGTAAGGAAGAAATGGGAGTGGACAAGGAAGCCAATTAGGGGCCAAGAAATAAAGCCCTTTTCAGGGAATGAGAAACCTAAAACCCACAGACTGATAAGGAAGGCCAGAAGCTGCCTGCCCAGAAAGATGTCAATAAGGAAAAGTGATTGTGAATTTAGAGGAAGTACCCCCTAGGCTGGAAAAGGTGGGGAATATGAGGACCAGCCCAGGGGTGCATGGGGTGGCCTGGATGTCGGAGCTCCACAGTCAGCCTTAGATTTGATATTACAAACTGCAGGGCTCTGGTTTATCCATTGCCTCTCCCTGAATCATGTGTGCCTCGTCTATACAATGACAATAACACGTAACTCCAGAGAATTATTTTGAGGCACTGATGGCATCAGATAGTAGCTGCTGTCACAAAGTAGAAAGTGACTCTCCAATGTAGCTCTCTGTTATCAGCTCCTGGACCTGAAACGGGCTTTATGATCTTGGCCTAGAGACACAAGAATCTCTGCATCCGTGTAGTATCAGCTGAAAGGCTTCAAGGGAATTCTCAGTGAAGGGGCTTTTATCCCTGATCAAGAAGAAAGAGTAATCCTAGCTCCTTTACACTCAGAGAGCTGGCTCTCAAGTGTGATTTGAAATAAGAAAAGTTTATTTCTGGTGTTTTGGGTACCTGATGTGGGATTCCCCTCTGTATGCTATGAATACCATTGGTTAATAAACTGGCTTGGCCTGATAGGGTAGAACAGAGCCATGTGGGGAAAACTAAACTGAATTCTGGGAATAGAAGGAAGGCAAAGTGAGGAGAAACCTCTGGAGACAGATGCCAGAACTTTATCCAGTAAGCCACAGCCTCGTGGCAGTACACAGATGAGTAGATATTAAGATGTAAGAGTTAGCCAAAAAGAAGTTTGAGCTAATGGCCAAGCCGTGATTTAATTAATACAGTTTCTTTGTGGTTATTTCAAGGCTGAGCAGCCAGGAACAAGGGGCCTCATACAACAGGTACCTGTCTCAGACTCTTAGCTTTTCCATTCTTTAGCTGAGAAATATTTTCATTTTCCTCTTTTCTTTGCTCTGTTTATTCTCCTTTATTCACAACCTGATTACACAAAAGAATTCTAATAAACACATTCTATGAGATTAATAATGAGAGTTTGCTTAGCATACAGAGGCCCTGGGTTGATCCCCAGCCCTGCAGGAAAAATGAAATGAACTCAGCATCTTTGGTACTTAGGTTTCTTGATCCAAGGGTTTTCATCAACAAAGAGTGTGCATGGCTGGCCTATCTAGGCATCCTGATAAGGGTTGGATAACATGGTGACTGGAAGATGTCAAGAAACACTCAGGCTCAATTCCCTTCTCGCCTGTCAAACACAACTTCTGTTTTCCCATGAGATTATAGGATGGTTGTCTACATCAGTGAGGGCCCTCTGTCTCTTGTTCATGCCTTAATAAGTGATGTGATGAGGTGAAAAGGCCTAGGGAAGTGTGGGAAAGTTTCTCTGTAGCAAACCATGGGATAAAGCCCTTCCTTCTATGGCCTGGGCCAGCATACAGCATCCGTTCCTGTGTTAAACTATGCACACCATCCTCTGAGATTCTCCATCAGGATGCTGATGACCTCAATCCACAGACACTTGTCAGGATTCCCCTCTTTTTGCTGAGGCTGAGTTGATTCACCAGCCCGCAGTTCTGCATGCACAGAGGAATTTAGGAGAAATTCCCATGGAGTTAAATACGGTGATACTGTTTTACTTCGTCTTCTCAAATATGGGCATTACTAATGAAAGAATTTTTATCTTTCTTCTCCCAACTAGTTCAGCATTTTTTAAAATGAGGACACCAGACAGGACTGAATCATTGAAATTTTGGGTTCCAGAGATCTCTTTGGGAAAAACACACAATTTCATAATATAGTGGATAATATAAGATATCTGATTCATATGATTATGTACACACACACACATACAATGTACCACTAGCACCCTATAATGTCATATCCTAGAGATAACGGACATTACACTGGGGAGTCCAGGACATCTTTTTAAGGTTCTCATAAGAGAAGGTTGCATCCTGGATTATAGGCCAATACAGGAGGACTGGACCATAAGAATGTCAATGAAGCAGACCCAGTCTAGAAGTAGAGATGTGAACTTGGATTAGGGCTTGGAAAGAAGAAGCCCAAAGACTGAGGATTCAAAGTGAAAACAAGATAAATGTTGATGTTGATCAAGTGTAGAAACTGAAGGTCATCCAGTAAGGTCAGAGAGTCTGGGAGCTAATGGAAAAGAGCTGAAGGGAGCCTGATGATTGCAACTTATTCTCAGAGGAGCCATTGAGACATGCCTTGGTCAACTAAGATATATTTATAACTTCCAAGTGAGAAAGGTGAGGGTAAGTCACTCTCTGAATTAATTTGTAAGTATACTCACAAACAGAATAGACTACCTCTGCCTCGAAGAAAGCCTGTATAGATACAGTGCCCATCTGAAGTAGAAATCATGTGTAAATAGAGTCTGAAATTCCTCAGGAGGGGGGGTGCTGGGGAGGTGGCTTAGATGGTAAACTGTCTGCTCTTCAAGTGTACATACCTAAGTTCAGATTTCCAGCGCCCACAGAGAAAGTCAGTTGTGGTGGCAACCCTGTATCCCAGCACTGGGGAGGTAGAAACAGAAGGAATCCTTGGAGCTCACTCATCAGTTAGTCTTGACAAATCTATGATCTCCAGATTTAGTGAGAGACCGTGTCTCAAAAACCAAAGTGGAGTGCAAGCAAGGAAGACAGCCAATGTCAACCAATGGTGTCTATATGCATGTGCACACACATGTGCATTCATCCACACACCCACTCACCCACAGTTGAAGGCATACAACCATATACCAACCACATACACAATTTTTTAATTCTTTGGTCATGTTTTTGGTAAATATTCCTAATGAATTAGCAAGTCTAGCTTCTGAACTGTAGGCCCCCACCTTAGCAGAGCGGGCTCCTCCTTTGGAGGGATCTAAAAATACTGCACTTAGGATCTCTAGTAAAACTAAGTTTGCTCTTGGAGCTGCCTAGAAAAGCACTGAATTTTTTGTACTCACCATGACTCGGGTTTCAAATGATGGAAATAACTCAAACTAGGTCTTGAGCAAACAACAGTCTCATATTTTGGAGATGTCTTGAATAATCACTGGATTTGGGAATAGCAGGTACCTGGATTCAAATGTTTTCAGAATTCAGTTTTGTCTTTCCTCAACTTTGTTCTAGGTGGAGTTCATTTTTTTATGTCACTTCAAGATGATCTCTGGTGACAGATATCTATGGCCTGTCAATGTAACACTTCCAGCATGAATAAGTAAGTAATCAAATAATTAACCTGAGTTAAAAGTTTAGGATAGTTGGTAATAGAATCAAGTTGGCCCATGTGCCCATTTGTCAGCATGACACTGAGAGGCCAAATTTTCCACCCACCGTTCTACCCATTTACCCATTTTATGTGACTTAGTCCTCACTCTGTGGCTTCAGGAAAAGTAACCAAAATAGGCTAGTGTGGTGTGGGACAATTGTCTGTATTCTATCAATTATATTTTAAATAAATGCTGATTGGTCAATAACCAAGCAGGAAGTATAGGTGAGACCACCAGACAGGTAGTAGAGGCGGGTCAATGAGAACAGGAGAATTCTGGGAAGAAGAAAGCCCATTCCTTCGCAGTCCTGGCCCAGACATAGAAGAAGCAAGTTGTGACTGCCTCACTGAAAAAGGTACTGAGCCATGTGGCTAACACAAATAAGAATAATGGGCTAATATAGGTTGTAAGAGTTAATAAGAAGCCTGAGATACTAGGCCAATCAGTTTATAACTAATGTAGACTTCTGTGTGATTCTTTGGGACTTAACGACTGTGGGAACCAGGCAGGACAGATACCCCAACAACACTAGTGGGCCCCACCCTTAGTCTTGCTATAAGATATGACCATGGCAATTCCCATCCACTGACATCAGAGTAAGATTTAGAAATCACCTAATAGACAATTTCAGAGTTTGGTGGATTTACTATTAAAAACTGTTTCAGAATAAACATGACAGAGGAGACCAAGAATACATCTGTGATGAAAGTGTTTACTAACTTCCAGCAAAGTCTGGCCTAATTAGATGGTAATCACAGTTAGCTGGTACACAGTGTTCACATGAAAAACAAGCACAAGATGTGTTTGATCCGAAGGCTGATAATCCTGGCCGGCTTCTTGTCGACACGTAAGTAAGTCTTCAAAGGAGGCAACTTTTGCCTAAATATTTTCCGTTCCTTTATGATTAGCTTTGAAGGATTAATAAAATATTCCACCACATTTTACATAAGCGAAGATGTGCTCCAGCTTGCCTCGGTGTCTTTTAAATAATTCTCCTTTAAAACTCTGCTTGCAGCACTCTGACAAGAGAGCAGAGCCCAAAGAGGTGAGGCAATATCTGTTTTATGGACAAATTTTATTGCTATCTGTTACCCTGCTGTGGGTTCTGTTTGTAGTTTATCTTAGGGCAATTAGAGATATTGCTCCTTAGACACCTACCTCAATGGCTTATTTGAAAGTCATTTTGCTAATTAGGAATTACTACATTAATATGTGCAATTCTTTTTAACTATCATACTCACCCAAATGCCAACTTTGCATTAGCATTTCAAACCTGAAATATCTTTAGACCCAAAGTCTTTAAAAATACTTCACATGTAAGGAATCCACATAGCCACAAACACCAGTTATTCACCTTTCAGTAAGAAAGAAACTGCTTGTTTATATGCATCATAAAATATACTTCATGAAATGGGCGCAAAATTAGGCGAAACCCGAAGAACCCCACTTGCAGTCGGGGGCTGTAAGATTCAAAACCAGTCACGTTAATAAAATTATTATGCTTCCAAAAACTAAGCCAAGGCTTTTCTTCTCCCTTCAGCAAAGGAGTGTTATAATTCCCCTGAACGAGGCTAGCCCCAAGCCAGAAAGAAAACAAGAAGCAAATTGTACACTTTAGGAAGTTGCAACTAGCAGCCTCTGGTAACTGTCTGTGCCTCTGGAGTCACCTGCCCTTACTTCTCTGAGCACGAGTTTGCTACTGAGTTCAGTCTGGCCCTTTCCTTATCTTTGCATGTTGGCTGGTAAATTAAGCAGGCTTCTCCAAGTGGGTGGCCTTTTTTGCAGATGCACCGCCTTTGTGGCCCAGTGACAAATGCCTGGTGCTGTCATCTGTGTCCCTGGAGATACAGGAAGACTCGCTGTGTCTTGAGTAACAAGAAGAGAAGAGAGGCATGCTCCCTTGGTTCTTGTCTGCTGCTTGCTTTTATGATCCTTGTCTTTCATACTGGTGTATACCTGGTGGGAGAGACAGTAAGGGTGACAGTTCTTCATCTGGTGGAGGGAAATTTCCAGCAGGACAAATATATCTGGTTCTTACCTGCTTTTGAATACAGGACCTCTCTCCTCCACAACAGCAAACAACAATACTAGAAAAGTCATGCTTCATGCTGGCTATGGCGGCACACCTTTTTAAACCTAGAACTTGGGAAGCAGAGGTAGAAGGAGATCTGTAAGTTCAGGGCCAGCCTGGTCTACAAAGAGAGTGCCAGGCTAGCCAAGGTTGCATAATGAGACCCCGCCTCAAGAAAAAAAAATTGTAAAAATATGTGCCATGCCTTCTATGGTGACACATGAAAGATCCTTGAGTTTAAGACCAGCCTGGTCTGTATAACAAGTCCAAGCCAGTCAGAGCGGCACAGAGAAAGACCCCATTGTGTTTTTTAAATGAAGAGGAAGTTCTAGCTTTTGGATTGTTTCTTGGAATTCAGGGACTACTTCTCCACTACCTAGACTACTACTGGCAAACAAATGTTGGCTTTATGAATGATAAACAGTATTTCCCAGAAGCACTCATTTCTCCACAAGGCCTTGATTTATATCTGTCTTTATCAATCCTCTTCCCCCTACAGTGGTAACTTTTCAAAGAAGGAAGTTTTGATGCGTGTGTCCCATATGAAAGAAGTCCGTTTGGTGGTCTCGCCACCCTCGGGTTGTAGGCTATGCTATAGATGACTTTAAAAGGATTGGAATTGCAGCTGGGTTGTTTATCTCAGGAGCAAACAGTGGAAGGAGAAGGAACTTCGGGCGGGGTTAAGAGGAAGAGGGGGAAAGCTGCTGAGAGGACCTGCTGGAGATGAGAGCAGGGAGCAGAGCCAAATCCTAGAGTGTCTTAAAAACCAAAATAATTACTCTTTTGTGTTCTGCTCCCCCACATTGACTGTCAGGTCATTCGTGTGTATGAGATGACCCACCACAGTGCCTGGAAATAACACTATGACAGGATTCCCTGTTCAGTCTCTTCCCCCTAGCTGGGACACTGGGACTTGACCATCCAAAGAGGCTCCGCACAGCTGGTAGGCATTTGGAGCCAGGTGCCTGCTGCTAATCCTCTTAGGGCTTCCGCTGAATCAGTCCTCATTCTGTGCTCCTCCTAAGAGGACTGGGCAGTAATTCATACATTTCAAATAAGAGACGCTTAGAATTTTCTAGGGACACAACACAGAGGTTTTAAGAAGTATCCTGAGTGACTCCATGTTTCAAAGTCGGCTTTGAATCTTACTTTAATAAAAATGGCAGATTGAGAACACTGCTTCCAAATCATAAGAGGACTCTGCCCAGACTCAGCATTAACACAAGACAACGAACAACCAATAGACTCTTTCAAAACCTTCCCCTTAATAAGGAAATAAACAGTTTTGGCCCCACAGCCAGATCCCTTAGGTCTTATTGATTTGGAATTTCTAGGGAATCTAGGGAGATGGGCAGTAGAAGGTAAAGGCTGTTTAACAGCTATGGTGCAAGTATTAGGTTACATTACAGGAAATCACTAATATTTAATCATTTAGGGCTTGTTAAAAGTCACTTTCTACAGTGTTACTTGGTAGCTAATAGTTTCAGTACCCTGCTGACCATAGCAGTGTATGCATATGAGAAATCAAATATAGTTTGTCCCCACAAATGGGCATGGTTTAGCTCTCTAGTTACTTGTATCCTGCTTAAATAGATATTACTTGTCAGGGATGTGGCTTACCTACTCATGCAGAAGACCAGAAACTTAAAATCATTAGTAGAAGTTGTTAGGATCGGTACTTAACCAATAGAACACCTTTCCCTGCATCTTCTTCAAAACTGATAATAGCAGTCAAGCATGCTCTAGGTTACCAATATTTTTTAAAGACCTGAGAGTCTCATATAGCTTCCTATAGTATGGACTGAAATCTACTCATTTTATCAATGAAAAAGCCTGGAAAAAAAAGAAACACACCCTCGTCTAAAGCCACAGGCATGTGGTCGCCAGCACTGTTTTTACACTCAAACTGTCTGTCTTTACAGCCTGTACACCTACAAGTCGGGGTTCTCCAAAGACACTGGGCCAATAGGCTACATCTAGAAAGACCAAAGGATAGTTACCATGAAACACTGACTCAGATGATGACAGAGGCTGAGAAGGTCCACAATCTCTTGTGTACAGTTTGGAGAACACGAAAGCTAATGATGTCGTTCTGGTTCAAACTGGAAGTCCCCCACGCCAGTAAGAAGCAGTAGGATCGTGTTTGTTCGGAGCCTGCAGTCCAAGGAAGAGTAGAGTCAATATCCAAGAGCAGAAGAAGATGGAGATCCCAAACACACAGAAATTTGCCCTCTGTCCACTTTATCGATTTGTTCGATAAGATTGGCTGGCACTCACCCACAAGGGGAGGGTGATCCATGCTCAGCCAATAGGCACAAAGGTTGCTCTCTTCCTGAGACACTGCCACAGACCCACCTAGAAATAGTATAGTCAGCTATCAGTCTACTCCTCGCCATAACCCAGGTGTCATATGGACCGCCATTATCCCAGCATCAGCTTTAAAGTCTTAGGGATGTGCTGGCAGATCAACACAAGAAGCAAGCTGCATGAGACGTTTGGAGATCCTCATGGCAGCCATTTGGAACACACGGCCCAGTTCCATCCTGAAGTTCCATCTCCTCTGAAGAGGGTGGGTTTTCCATTTCGTCCCCAGCACCACCAGACCATGGCAAATGTCCCTGTGGACACCGACTGTCCTTGAAAAATGGACCGCAGGCTGGAGCAGCGCCTGCGTAGGTAGGCTTCACAGAAAGAAGAGTCCTCAAGAGGCTAAGCTGGGCTGAGCTTCTCTCCAACATCGCCAGTAGAGCCTGGGGAGAAGTAAAGAAACTAAGACTAGACTTCGTTAGCAAGAAGTCCCATGAGAGACCTCAGGGGCTGTGAAATTGAACCGTGGAAAAAAATGCTTCTTTATTGCCACTAACCTCGATCTGACCTGCTCACCTCTAGGTAAGATTTACATCCAGTTATGAAAGCAGACAATAAGCCAGGCAGGATTGTGATTGTTGACAACAGAAGCCTCAGAAATTGTTGTGCCTCCTTAGAATATTATGAAAATGTCTGGAATCTCACAAGTATGCTTTGATATCTGAAAATGGGGGAAGTACAAATGCATGCTATTTTCCAGGGCAATAGTAATACACGCCATTGCAAACTTGCATTTTTTAAGGGTCTTGCCAATGGCTTCTCAATAAAATTAATTTTCTCAGAAATCCTATGTATTGCAAGCATTTAAAATCATGATTTAGAGAAGAAGTTTGTAAGCATCTCCAGTATTTGAAAGAAACTCTAAAAGCGTAAGTGCCTTTGTACACTGGACCAGTGGGAATGGAATCCTCCTTCCCACTGCCCTGCCCTAAAATGTTTTCCATTTCACTACATTAGCCACTTTCTTTAGTTGGGTGTCTCCCTCCTGTCCACTAGTCTAGGTGTATCTCTCCATGAGATGTCTTGACAATACAGGCTGCTCAGTGGAAATTCTTTGTTAGACCTGTAAGTTTGGGTTTGTGCATGTGTTTCTACCTTTAACTGTAAAATGTTTGAACTATGAAAAAGCATGAAATGTATGTTGTACATTTGTATTTTGCATTGTTCTAAAAAACACTTTGGGATTATTAAAATGATGTCTTGTGGGATCCTCAAACTGTACTAGTATCGATTTCAGGGATTAACTATTCACCCATTTATAACTGTCCTTATCTCACCTTGTCAATCAAACTCCACCTTCAGTTCAAAAACAGATGCAAGCAAAGGGTGTCTCCCAGAAAGACAGGAAAGAAACCATGTCTACCAACAGTGGGGATGCTTCACCTTTGAGATGAAAAACACCTCTAGACACCACTCTCATGATTACACAAAGAAGATTCTCTCCAAATTAATTTGGATTTTGTGTCCGACCTTGAGGACAGCCACCTTGTGGAAGTCTTGGTAGGGCTCAAATAAAACTTTTCCCCAAGTATAAGGCAGAGCAGTGTTTGTGGTTTCTTCCTGTTAGGTTAATTTCTCATCATCTCAAGAGGACCATTAATGGCTGCTGACAGTGAGAGAGTCACTTTTGGAGGGGGCGGGGGGGGGGGACAGCCATTGGTGGATGACTTCATATCCATCAGTACATGGACAGTACTGGCTGGGCTCATGGGCTTATAAAGAGAAGACATGAAATGGGGAAGGAGATGTGTTGTGGGAGGGAGTTAGAAAAAGGATGCACAGGAAGGGAAGACAATCAAGAAGCACTGTATACATGTGTAAGATTTTCAAAAGAGAAAATAAAAAAAAGAGGAATTGAGAGAGAAAGAAAGACTTGATGATTTGATGCTGACACAGGGTTAAATATTCACATAGACAATATTAGTCTACTAGACCTAGGGGAATGGGTCTCTACACATCCCTTGCCTTTTTAGTTTTACTTTCTCCATTTGAGTAGGTCCTAGTATTTGTTCCTAAGATTCAAGTCTTTATCCTTTTTTAGTCAACATGACATATAATTTACTTAGCTATTTATGCAGCTATCTTGAGAACCTAAATTTGATTATTCTTGTGATGGATATCCGATTTGAGGACAAAGAGGAAAGCATTGCACAAGAATGTTCTTCCTCCCTTCTCTGACAACCAGAAGCTCCGAGCACAGGACCACTAGTAAAGGGTTGAGTTGGGGTCACATGGATCCACCCAGACTGAAGTAACCTTATCTAGCACACACTCCAGGAAGGAAACCATTTATTCGCTCATCCTCCGTGAAGCATTGGAATCTCACGAACTTACTAGTGGATCCAAATTACTACAGACAGACATATACTTGAACAGTTTGATTAACCCAAGATTTCATAAGGAATTCACTGAGAATGACAAAATATGAAATAACAAGATATGTAACTAATATAATCATGCTTACACACACACACACACACACACATGCACGCACACAATGTAGCACTACCATACCCAGCAAACAAACCACAAATCCAGCACAATGAAGATGTAGTATTTACATCCTAACAGACCTTTCTTATAGAAACTCTTAGCCAAGTGGACTTCTGCTCTCAGACACTAGTTCTGCCACTGTCTGGAAGTTTCATAAAATCCTCTATCTTGGAGTTCTATGTCGAGGGGAAATTGATCACACTGTGACCCTCCGAGACTGTTAATATAGTTAAGCTTGAGTCAGGGATGGAGTCAACCACTAGATCACCAGAATCGGCTACAGAGATTTTGGAGGACACGGGATATGATATGATAGAGAGGCACAGGAAGGAGTAGGCAGGGGTTTAGAAAGACTCAAGGGCCCTATTGGTCTGGGAAGCATGTGGAGAGAGTGTCAGCTCCTCCTCTGCTTTCTTGATTTATCAGGTTTGTACCCCAACATCTGACTCTTGAGTTTTTACAAATAATAAAATAATCTAGATAAACACTTCAGTTGTCTGCACTAGTGGCCTGCTCCTCTGTGGCCACTAATACTAACTGCAGTGAGACTCAGAGTGGGTGCACTGAGTGAGTATTTGAAGCACTCGGTTTCACCCACACCATTGCTACCAATGCTGCTTTCACTCGGTGCTTTTTGGGTTGCTAGACACTCGTTGACAGAGCCATGGTGACTGTGTGGCAAAGCACTACAGGTTTACCTTGTTTAACAGCCTTCTCGAAGGGGTGGCAGTGTTTGAGGGCATTTTCATGCAAATAGCTTTAAATCTGTGATTGTATCTAACAGAAAGCGTTTTTTCCTGGAGGGTGTACTCATGAAGAGCTTCCCTTCCTTCCTTCTTTCCTTCCTTCTTTCCTTCCTTCCTTCCTTCCTTCCTTCTTTCCTTCCTTCCTTCCTTTCTTTCTTTTCATAATTGTGACTATCAATGACTCACAATAATGAAGACAGGTGACCTGTGACATAGCTATGCCCCAACCCTTAGTAACACTGTAATACTCTCTGGGGCATCCTTTTAAACATGTTCCCTGCAGGTCATGTTCATAGTCTTAAATATGAGTTGCTTTATCCATATGACTATGTAGGAAACACAAGAGTCTCCAGCTATGGCTTTGTGGCACCGTGTGTATTAGTCAGGTGTTTGGAAAGTAATTTGTAACTTAAATTAGAAAACGATAGACTCCTTCGATGCATTCGAGCTGGTCCCAAATGACTTTGATATCACTGTCACCTGCACTCATCCTTCTGTAGAAGAGAGCTGTGCACATCTGTGCACATCTGTTCTGTGAGTTCCTAATAATGATAAGAATTGTTATTGCCATTGGCTCCTCCCATGTCCGTTGTTTCAATAAATCTGAGCATGACCTGTAAGTATGAGTGGGATCAAAAAAAAAAAAAAAAAGATAGACGCTATCCCAGGGCTGCAGGCAGATTTCTAACTTGTAACAGACTGAATTCCTCCTCGGTTTGTGCAGAGGTAACTCAGCATTTTAATGTCAGGCTGGGGGGTGCTCCGTCAAGTCAGGAAAGTGAAAACGTGCCCCAAAGCAGGCAGGCAGGTGTGCACCCAATCTGGGCTTCCTAACAGGCTCCTTTTGTTAGCTAACTAGTTAGCTCTTTAGGGCTGCGAGGCTGGGAGGCATGAAGTTTACCCTCAGGTGCTGGTTGGGGGGTGGATCTCATATTCCTTTGGTAGCTTCAGTGTTTCCAGCCAGTTCTTTCAGGGAGACTAGAACCATCCTAAGGATTTGGTCTTGAGCTCTTACAAATTATGTTAGCTTTTATTCTAATCTTCATAGGCTAAGGTGGAAACCTCACTGAGGCAAAACCTTATACCAGCTGGCTAGAGTCTGGTGAGGGAGAGAATCTTTTCTATAACTGTGAATATCAATGGATCATAGTAATAAAAGGGATGGAGAGAGCCTAAGTGCCTGAATCATTATTGATCACTTTTTTCAATCACCCCAGGCAACTTAGATCTATAAATGTAGCCATAAGAAATTGCCAACATTTGACTGTTTCTGACCCACAAAATGCAGCAATTTCGTACACTGTAACTTAATATAATGTGCCTTGCATTAAAAACCCCTGACAAAAATCAATCCAGCTACTAGATTGGGTCTGCCAACAAGAGATGGTGGTGTGCCCCGTGGTTTTATTTTTTTTTCTTTCTGTTTTTAATGAAGAAGAACCCAATGACATCCAGTGTGATAAATGCATCTTTGTTTCCACCTGTATGTCTAACCATGCACCTCAGAACAAATTTTAACCTCCACCCTGGGTCCTTCATCACCACAGAAAGGTTCATCCACAGAGCTTAGAACAGTGGGTTTAGGGGTGGAGGACATGGCTCAGTGGTAAAAACTGCCTCCTGCATAACAAAAAGGACCTGAGTTTGAATCCCCAGCACTCATGTAAAAAGATAATTTTAATTCACACATGATCTCAATTATTTTCATCACAAGGAGGGTATGAACTAAATACTTGATAAGCTTCCCATGATAAATATGTCAATTTGGGAAGTTGTATTTGCTTCATATATCTGCCTGTATATATGGGCCTAGATCCTCCTCCGTTGCCAAGGTCGGAACAATCTACTATTTCCAAACCAAGGTGTGACCACTAGTCATTTAAATATCAGCAGTCCTCAACTTTATGTCTGAACTGTAATGTAGCAGAAATGCTTTGGTGCCTCTGTTCTTGCCTTTTGACTAAGTCTTAAGTGGATGCATTGGGTAAATTCCTTAACCGTTGTTTCAGGCCAATTAGGGACAGAGAGTGGACAGGGTGATGTCACCCATCACCTGTTGACATCTTCAAAGGGGCCGTTATCTTTAATAAAGGAGGAAAATGATAGGGGCTTCTGAAATTGCTCAGCTGGCTGGGAGCATGCGCTGCCCTTATAGAGGACCTGAGTTGAGCTTGCAGTGCCCACATCAGGATGCTCACAACTTCCTCTAACTACACTTCTAGGGCTCCAATGCCTCTAATACCTGGCTTTGGTGGGCACCTGCACTCATATGCTCATCCACTCACACGTACAAATAATTAAAAATAAAATAAGTCTTTTTTTTTCTACAGAAGGAAACAAATAAGGAGAAGAATAAACAAGCACCCTTGGATGGACTTTGGTTACTATAGCATTATAATACTATAGCATTATCGTAGTGATTTTCCACACAGTGGTGGCAATGGAGATTCTGTTAGTCTGCCCACGCTGCTATAACAAAACACAGCGCACCAAGTCGTTTAAACAGTACGCATTCATTCTCCCAAAGTTTGGGAGACTGGGAGTAAGATATAAAGGCGTTGGAATACTTGCCTTCTCACTGTATCCGTTCATGGAGGAAGGAGAGGAGGAAGGAGAGAAAGAAAAAAAAAGAGAAAAAGGCAGAGAAGGAAAGGCAGACCAGAGAGAAACAGAAATAAATAGATTTGTAAGGCCATTAATTCCCAGCATGAAAATCCAAACCTCACAACCCCCTGGTTTCCAAGGCAACCTTCTGCAAACATCACATGCTGTAGCTAGGGTCTAAAAACAATTTTGGAGAGTGAACACAGTTCAGTCCCAAAGAGCAGCTAAACAATA